GCAAAGTAAGAAAACCCAGAGAGCGTGATAACGGGAGCTCCTGTCCCCTCAGACAACACAGCTCCTGAACATCCTGAAACGCTTTGTCAGTAGTTTGGATGATACTTACTTTCGGCCGACAAAATACACCACATTTTTCATAATGCATGCCTAGCAACTGGCCAGCACGCCACCCAACAAAGCCAAGTAAAGTGAGAGTGGAGGCCGACATTTCCTGCATGTCGGCCCTTAGCATAAGCAAACTAATCAGCTGCTTGGGGCCCCCGTGGCCACCAGAGGGCCCCTAAGAGCCCTAGAAATGTCCCACAAGGAAGATTGATTTTTTTTTCATGATATATGAGAATGTTTTAAGTCAATGGCGGCAATCATACTAATACACAGTATTATGTTAACAGACTGGCAAGTTCATACTGCTGGTAAGAGAAATTTAAATTACCCATAAGGTGACGCCAGCTCTGACAGTGGTAGCAGGACAATAGTCACATTGATACTCCCACCATAACCACAGTCAGTTATTCTGTGTACGTTTTAGCCATGAACTCTGTGGTAGCTGTGCACTACTGTGTGCAGCCGCTGAGCAGCATCTGTCTAGAGTTTGCAGGTGATGCATTCAGGGGACTTTAGGGAGCTATGTCACTACCAATAGCTTCAGGTGATGCCATTAATGAACATCTGTGACTGTGTAAACCATCCTGGGTTACACCATTATTATCATTATTCTCAGGCAGTCGTGGATTGATTGAAGCTCGTTGGTCGTGCACTTAACAATAAAGCCTGACTCCTCATTTCTGCTTTATGCCACAATTACTCAAACATCCCTGCTTTCACTGAATGTAGTGTTTATGTCATTCTGGATTCATTATAGCCATAACAACCAAAGCACTATCTTTAAGCATAGCCAATGGACTTTTACTGAAAAGGGCAATTTATATTTAATCTACATTTTGGGTATTTTATGATTGTGGGTAGAATGAAATTAAATACTTGCACCAATAAAGTAATAAATGGCGGATTTTGTAATGTAGGATCATTATCTGCCATCTGTCTGACACAAGTCCCGTGTGTCCGTGGATACCTGAAATGTTTTGTTCCCAATTGATTTGTTATATACTAGTATATAGTTTTTCTCGAATCTAATATACATAATCCATCCAAAACACAACTAGATCAGTAGAAGCTCAGCATTTCTCTATATGTTTGCATGTTTCCACACTGAAGGAAAAACAACAAACCTTTCATCATCAAACCTAAATATAAGCTGGTTTCCACTTTTGAGGTGAAATGAGTCAAATTCATCCAAAACAGACTTTCACCCAACACCGACAACTTTCCAGTGTTTGCTGGAGCAGTGAGAAACGACTGGAAGTAAATTACACTTTTCGGCATCCAGATTTTAATCTAATCTGTTTCACTCAAGCCTGTAATCATTTTAGTGACAAAGCAGCCAGTCACAAATCCTCAGGTACGCCTGCCAAAGTGTGTTGGAGGAGGAAAAATTAAACGGGTTTGCTCTTCAAAGGAGAGAAACAGTGAAGAAATTAATACTGATGCCAAAGTGGCCATTTGTCCTTCAGACTTTACCTTCTGGAAAATTGCTCTCATGGAGACTCATAAAGACAGACCTTAATCTTGCAGTTGGTTATTCTCAGTGTAAATCTGAGATCTCCGGACAAAGCTTGATAAGAGCAAAATGAAACTAATGGTGATTCATAGTATCCATAAAGCATGAAATACAGCATAAAACAGCGGACTGAGCCGTGAATCTGTCTCTGCAATGCAAATTTATACAGTAGATGAAATTTGTTGGCACAACACAGACTGTATAGAACTACAGCATATCTGCACACAAACTGATAGGCTAAAAAGTTTGGATTTGGAACTTATTAGTAGAGTCACTCTGGTACCATTGGCATCAGTGTGCCACTTGTGACGTGTATCATTCATATTTTTGCTGACAGTATGACAAGTTCGACCTTTACGGCCTAACAAATATTTTTTACCTCATATTTGGTTGGCTGGACTAGGAGCAGAGTGCAGAGATGATGAAATGAAATGAAATGCAAAACAGTACAAGGGAAGAGACACTCACCCAAGCCACTGATACCATTTGACTTAAAAACATAGACTACATAGATAAAAGTGTTTCGTTTGTTTCATTGAAGAAAAAAATCGTGCCTTGAGAAACTATAAGACCTATATAATGACTTTATCCAGTGTGTAAGATTAAGGTGAAAGGGAACTATTGGCAGATATTTAATATAGAATGATCCCCATGATGATTTAAATAGTTCATTTCATCTAAATTGTATGAATTGTAGTTTTCTTTACCCCAGAACAGGCCCTTTATATTTAAATACTTTATATTTACATGGAGGGGGTCCTCTCTAAAGAGGCAACTCTGACAACTGAAGCTACCACAGGTTCTTTTTCATGTTTGGAAGGAGAGGGTGAGGTGAGGGGTGTTCAGCTGCAACATGCAATCCCAACTCTCAATATCACAAAATTCTACACACTGTACCTTTAATATTAAGACTACATTCTTGAAATCAATTTTTTTCCCATTGTGTCCCTAACATGCCGTCTTACTATAGAGGTCAAAACCAAAAAGAAAATATAAAGTCAGAATTACATTAGATATAATTTGATGTAAACAAGGATGTTTTAATACACCACTTCAACACAAACAAGCAAGGGTTTGATTTTGTGATTACAGCTGCCCTTCACAGTGAGAACAAGGGGACACACGCACACGCATGCACACGCATGCACACGCACACGCGCGCACCAGGATTCAGGCATCAAGACAGAAAGGCAGCAGGTGGACAGGATCTACAACAGCTAGTCTAATTAGGAAGAATACAATAAATATCTGGACTCAATGGAATACTGCAGCATTGAGGCAACAGAGACAATCTGGCAAACAGGACTAAAAACTGAATTATTTCCATGTTGAAGAGCAACAGGAGCAGCTGTGCTGGCAGGGGGCAGATTCCATGAGCAGTCAGGTATTTCACAGAGGACAGTCAGCGAGGATGCCCAGTGGGCAGGTATGGTATAGCTACATCTGGACAATTTACAATATGCACACAAAGACGAGGCAGAAAGGGACCAAGGTTGAGAGTGGAGCAGCAGAGAAAAAAAACCATCAAGGAGAATTTGGCAGAAAGAGTTTTGTGTACAGTCTGACAAAAAAAGTTGAAGGGATAAAAGAAAGAAATAAAACTAAAAAGATGGAAAAACACAGTTTGGTCCTCCAATTATTGATGTCAGGCTTGTAATGATGCAAAGGAAGGAATGTAGCGTGCCCTCACTGCGCAAAGAAATCAGACTGTAAATATTCATTATAGATGCCACTGCTCATATCCTCTCCTGTAGGTGTTGGATTTACCGCTCACATAAGGTCCACGCTGCAGTTTAATGAGCCAGGTTGCGTCTCAGTGACAATACATTACAGGCGATCCCAAGTAATGAGGACTTAGTCAGACCGACCGAACAAATTTCCACAACAGATGAGATCACACAGAACTGAGACCAAAGTCACAGAACTACTATTGTTATACTGTCAATACTGGTCAGAGAAACATCAGTCGTCTTTTACACTTTGAGATATAATACAACTTATCACTCAGATGACAACAAAAATGATTGTTATTACTTGTTGAGCACATCAGTAAATTGTAGGTTGCATTACTTCCTTCCATTAAATGTACGATAGGTAACTTTGACCACTAGAGGTCTCAATCACAAAGACCAAGTTAGATGATGCCATGGCGGAAAGCTGCATGGGATCATGGGAGTTGTTTTTTTCTCCTCCACTGTCATGACTCAGTCACAAATCGTGTTCACAGATGAGGTATTGTATTAAGGTTTAATGATCATGATCCTTTATAGTACAAAGAGCAGAAGGAAAAAACAGCCGACTAGCTAACTGGGTAGCAGTGTGTTTTCACTGCATCATGTCATTTGTCCCGGAGGTTATAGCAAAACAAAACGTGATCTTTTTTTACTTTCACAAAGTCACATCATCGTTGTGTTTTCCTCAAACATTGAAATGCCACTGTTTGCATGGGGAAATTACTTCAGAGAAACCGTGGCCCCCTCGTTTATCCACCCGCACGCTCGCAGCACAGCTGGGGTCATCCCTCATGTGCACTTTCTGCTCACCTCCTCCCTCCCAGTCTCTCAACCCTCTTCGGCATTGAAAGGGTTTCGTTTGTCACAACAGGCCATAAATCATCAGTGTGCAGTTGAAATAAACGGGAGATGATCTGTCCTCCCTCAACGATTCCCACACGAGTGCACCTGAGCAAGGCACTGAATGAAAAGCTGCACTGATGGCATTTTAATAGAGGACAGTGGCAGCACTGTGCAGCCTGCAATTTCATGTGCGTGAGTATGGTGGTTTGACCTTTCTATGTACACTCAGTGTGTGCGATCACTATGAAAAGTCTGTTTTTACACACACCACATAATGCTCATCTCCTCCTGATACCAGGGGGCTCTTGGATTGGATAAAAGCTCCCTGGAGAGACTGTTTTTCTAAAGGTACGTGTATGTTTGAGACGACAGCCAGAGCCTCACCTTGAAACAAAGTCAAAGTCCCACAAGGATCCTCTGTGCACACTCCACAGTGCAGATACAGAACCATGCTATGACATACTGTATGGCCCCCATCTGGTACACTAATACATGACAGCACCTCCACTGTGATTCTAATTACGGACGCACCAGTTGGATGGTAACTAATAGCATGAAAGACCCTGCAATTATGGCTCTGTGTCTTTTTTGCAAGTTTAAAGTTGAGGATGCTGATTATTCTGGGGGCCACGTGTGAATTAGGAGATCTGACAAAAGAAGACAGAAGCGTTTGCTCAGTCTCTTTTAAGTGCAGTTTCAAGTGAAGTGGGGTTCTGAGGAGTGATTGTGAAAGAAGATGAGGAAAAGGATAAATGAAGAATACAATCGAACCCTAAGCTGGAAATGTAGGTCAGTGATTTTACCTGGACCAGAGCAAAAGGACGCAATCACAGCCAGGATACAGATGTAACTGAGGTAGGGCATCCATGATACACTATCCTGAGAGAAGAGAGAGAGAGATGATGTTGTGATTTGTTTTAAATATTGTTATCATGGCGATCTTCTCTGTTACATCATGTGACATCTACTGCACTTCTGTCCGTCCTGAGTGAAGGAACTCCTGGTGGTTTTTCCTCACTCTAGTCTAGGGTTAAGGGCAGAGGATGTTGCACCTTGTTAAGCCGTATGAAGCTTGATATTTGAATACCGGATCAGGAGGTAGAGAGGGTTGTCCACTAACTAGATGGTCCGTGGTTCGAACCCAAGTTCCTCCTGACTGCATGCCAAAGTGTCCTTGGGCAAGACATTGAACCCTTAATTGCCCCTGATGGCTGTCGACAGTGCGATAGAAAAAGTGTGTATAGAAGCGTTGAATGAATGTGTGCATGAATGGGTGACTTGTACTGTAAAGCATTCCAAGTGGTCAATAAGACTATATACAGTAAAAACATTCACCATATGATATTAAGAGATATTTCTCTTTTTGAATTGTTCTAAAAAACAGGGGTTGTGTCTAATTATAACATTTACACAGAGTAGCAGATTCCAGACAGGGATTTGCTCACATTAAAATGTTGAGCAACTATGTGACACATCCTTGCAGTGTGTCTAGATTGAGGTCAATGCAGAACAGGAAGAGCAGCTTACCTGGAAATTGAGGAACACGGTGAGGAGGCTGAAGAACACGGCCATGGCAGAGAACCCAAGGATGAGGAGACGCTTCCTGCCGATTCGTTCTATCACCAAACCCTGGAGATGGGACAAAAAATAGCATTTTAATATCAGATGCATTCCCAGGGGGGTCTGTGCCACTGTAGTGTGATTACAGACCTATCTTAAGATATTACTACTGGCACTCGGGATGACAGTGTGAGGGTCGGTCGCACAGATGGTCAGCTGGTCCGTCAACCTTTGTCCAGACTAAATTTAAACATCCCCAAGGGGATGAAACTTGCTGACTTTGGAAATCAAATGACTCTTCCTCATTTATTCTGTGTCACTACGCTGGCAACAATTTTGTTTTGCTTAAAGACCTTAAAGTCATAACTTCCCAACAGTTAGAGGGGGTTTTTATGGAATTTGATGATTTTCATGGTGTCCAGAGGATGAATTCTAATCACTTTGATGCCCAGCAAATGTTTAATACATCATCAGGTCAAAGTTTCACTTAGGTTTTTTAACTAAATACCTGCAGACCTATAACAATCATTTACTAGGCCATTGATTTGAGATTAGAGCTAATTACATCCGCCAAGGAGGTTACGTTTTTGTCTGTTTGTATGTTTTCAGGATTACGTAAAAACTGCTCGAAGGATTACTATGCAGTTGGTATAAGAACCATTAATCCTGATCAGAGATGGGCCAGGTATGCTCTATCAAATGTTAGCATTTCCAGTTGTTTTAACAAAGTACATGAAACATACCAATATGTGATCTAAATCCACCTCCTCAGCTCTCTAAGTCATACTGTGTGTGATATATATTGGCATTACTTACAATCCGGGACACATGAATTTAAATGCAAAGGTTTGCTGAAGGCAGAGGCAGCTTATCAAATTTATTTTCTAAACCCTTCAAGCAACCAATAAATTCTACTGAAACAAATTTGGTGGTGAAGTAAACCCTATATATAATGTATTATATGGTACACACAGCGACATACATATAAAGATTTACTCATACATAATAATACAGATCGGCTCATCAATAATTCCACAGTCCCTTCTCACTCAGGTGATCTCTGGTTGGGTCAGCATGAGGCATAACGTGGAGACCTAACTCAGTCACAGCCAGCACCGGATTGAGCCCCGAGCAAAGCTCCAACCTCAGCTGCAGGTCTGCTTCCTTCATGGCCCCAGGACATTAAAGTATTCATGCCCTCAACTCACCAAACCAGTGGGATTTCACGGGGTTGTGAAAAAGGTCACTGGTGTTTTTACAGTGTGTGTCCCCGAACAGAGGAGCTGCTGAGTGGAGCCAAGGTGGGAAACAAAACATAGGGGCTTTTAATGTGTGTATGTGGGGTGTGGGGGAGGAGCTGGACAACCTAATCATGAGGAAACAAGATAGTCATAGGGTGAGTGTATGAATGTGTCCCTAAAGAGACAGGACAGAAACAACTCGCAACCCCCCCCCCACAAAGTCATGCCATCCACACCAGCAAAGCCGCAACTCATTAAGGTCTTAGGCATAAGAGGCTGACTAGAGCAGGGACAGAAGTGTAGTGTCAGTTGACAGGAAAGTATGTGCTTTTACCACTCCCAAAAACGTGTAGGCCTTTTTTTTTTCTTTTTTACACACACAGACACACAGAATAGGAGTACCAGTGAGTTAGTCAGATGGTGGTCTGATCAAAATGATTGTGTCTATTTTGTGCTCAAAAATAACAAACTGAACCAAAAATGACCGATCTCTCTCAATGTCAAAATACATAACCCAATGTCCCACTTGTTGGCAGACTTGAAGGAGGACAGACATGGCGAATGAAGCCCCCCCCAGTGGGCAGGACTTAAGTCTGGTCATCATTAATCACATCAAGAAGCAGATGAGCCATTAAAGATGAATCGCACCAGCTCAAGGCTCAACTGACCCTTCACCATCCCTGGTTAAACCCTCGGGAGAGGATGTGAATCAAGAAATGTGTCACAGATGGTGATAATGGTGCTGTGTTTATTTTTTTACACCAATGACAATCACCGCACAAAAACACACAAACAATGTCCGTACAATGGGGTCCAGACTTTTTCTGGAGTTTTCCTTTCACGTATAAAAAATGCAGCAGGAGTCAAATGCATTTTCAACAAGAAAACCTTTGGTGCGTTCAGGCAAGGGGTGGTTTAGCATGCAGGGGGTGGGACGTGACGTATTAATTCAGCTTTAGAGATCACGTGTCTACTTTTACAACACATCAACACCTGTCTTCATCCTGAGATAGTTACAATCTTTTGTTTTATAGCTTTGTTTTTGTCACCTGAAACATTTTCAACACACCCACTCCCTCACAGTGAATCCTCCAGACAATCTCCGGCTGTGTTCTCATATGGGCTCATTGAGTTTTTACTGACAGGAGACTCCGACTCACTGAAAGCAGCTCTAAAGAGCTCTGTATCGTCCAGCTTCTGCTTGCATTGGAGGTCTACTGCAGTCCTATGTTCCCCACATGTCACAAGGTTAATTTAAAAACTAATGGACAAATTTCAGTTAAGGGGATTTGAACTCTGGACTCTTGATTTAAGATCTGTGGAAATCTTCAAAAACAGCTCCAGATCTACTTATTTAGGTTTGCCTTTGTGTTTTCATGCCCTCTGTCTGTATATGTGTTTTTTTTTGTGATGTCTGGGGGTTAAAAAATCTGCAATTTATACAAGGTACTTAAAGGAGAACAAATGCTCTGCATCTGTAAGTATAGCTGATTACATCAGAGATCGTCTTTCCTCCTTTGGAGGAATATTCATTGGTAGATAATTGTACTGCATTTACAGACAGTGTCCACGGGCTTAAAGGTTAGTCAAGCTACAGAATTCATCACAGTTACCACAAAGCAATCATTTACTTCTGTCACTGAGTATTTATCTCTGAAATATGATTAAAAACAAATTTAAAGAATGAAGCAAATATTAATTTATCAAAGCGCCAGTGTGTTTTTTAAAATAATTTGTATGTGTAGTTTAATATGCTGCTTTATTATCATGAGGGTTTTTGTGTTAAGACGTTCTGCCTGAGGGCCACAGAGTGACGACACAGCCAGATATGTGTGATTTAATAAGTGGTGGCACACACACCATGGTTCTCGTATGTTAGCCAGGCGTGTGGTGAGAAGTACGCTGTAGCGAAAAGGCAACAAGCCCAGTGGGACAAAGAAAAGAGGGCATTAGGTCAACAGATAGTGTTCTGCATCAAGAACAAATATATTATGCCCTTTTCTTCCATAATATGTTTCACAAAGGAGTAATAATAGCTGTGTTAGAAGAATCAGAATCTACTGAATAAATATAGTATAAATTACATAAACATGAGAAAGTGTAAGTCATTGACTGATGATTAATGATGCATTCAGATTTAATGAGATGAAAAATTCTTCCACAGCTTGAATGCATACACAGCTAATGGAAAGATATGAGCAGATGTGAACAGACATGAAGCGATAAGTCGCTCCAGGTCGCTCCAGGCGGCATGAATTTGTGCTGAGGAGGCTTGTAAGCATAACATTAAGGCGGCGTGTGACGTCACTTCATTAGGCTACAGAGGGAACACATGAGGTGAGGGCCACAATGAAAAATATGAGGAACAGCTGGAGTCGGTGGTAAGTTTTAAAATCTGTGTGTCTAAACTGTCACACACAGCGATACACTCAGTCAGTGCATGTAAGTAAATGGCAGCACACTAAACCTGTTACGTGACAGCGCTGTTATTGTTTCCTAGCCTAAAGCAAAATCACTGTTTTAAAAGGTAGATTCCTGCATGCTCTATAATCAACTTTTATTTTCTATAACTACATATATTATAATAAGACAATGCTTCAGTCAGTTGTCCGCATTGCAACAGAAATACAGCCATTCACTGAACAGGCAGGACTGACTCATCCACCCATCCCATATATTTCCGACACACCTGCTTATTTTGTGCCTTGTCGCAAAAGGGCTTATCCCAGCATGCACTGTTGCAGCGCTAGGGACAGGTAGCCAGTGCATCACACGGGGTCAAACTAATTTAGATTTTTCAGTTTACCTAACCTTCATGAGTTCGAGAGGGAACCAGAGCACCTGGATAAAAGGTGCACTGGTTCCCTCCTACAGCCCGAACACATGACGGATGAGTAAACTGCCAAATCTAAAGGGAGTTTGATCACAGTGTGTGCGTGTGAACAGGAGGACACTCACAGACTAACTGGGTCAGGTGGGAACCCAGGTGGCAATGACATTTACCACATTTAATGTTTTTTTATTTATGTGCGTGCGTGTGATCAGATCAAAAGAAGATCAGAAAAAACAGATATCTCCCCGAATAATATATTTGTATCATTGTTATTATTATTAAAGCTTATATTGATACGAATATTATTCGTAATGATATCAGTGCTCTCATGAGGTTGTGTGTGTGTGTGTGTGTGTGTGTGTGTGTTTGTTCAGAGTACAATAATTGCAGTGGACACAAAGCATGGCCACCCCCACTTTTTTCTTTATAGCATTACATGTACAAATCAAATATGACTGACAGTTCTCATTGTATGTACTTTTGCCTGTAAAATGAATAAACACATTGAACAAAAAAAAACAAAAAAAATATGACTGACAGTGCGCAGGGATTTCTTTAATACCTACCACCTACTTTATTTATGCCAGACTATATGTGCAGACTATAGATTTAGTTACTTAAAGATATTATGGGTTATGTGGAAAGACAAAAATAGACTACTACCTGAAAAAGCTGTTTACATTAATACCAAATGACACTTAATGAAATGTATAAAGAAAAACAAAGATATGAAATGATTGAGTAATATTTATGTTGTGATGATTAGTAATGTGATTTGTGAAGGAAGGGAAATCAAAGAAATGGATGGGCTTTTGTATTAATGTTATTTATATGAAGGGGCAGGCAATATAAGATGTTTCTTCTTCCTGCTCCTTTCCGTTCAAGAAATGTGTGTATGTGTATTTTTTGTTTTTGTCAGTGGGTGGTTAGTTTTTTATTTTTTTCCATTCTCATTAATTCAAGAGTGGATTTCAACATCAAAACATGGAGCTCTC